CTTTCTTGCAGCATCTTCTTCTTCTTCCTCCTCCTCACCTTCCTAGGCAGTAATTTTAGATTTCATCTCTAATTAATTTCTTTAATTGAAGACTATAATTATCTTGAATTAAATTATCTGTGTCTCACCCTATTGCCTTCAATTCATTGTTGATAATTTCGCATTCATCCATATATAATTAAGTGTTTAAATAATTATTGGTTATAAATGACTGGAGAAATAAAAGCACAAGAAATGTGTCACGAAATTGAAGCAGCACCTGGTAAAGGAAAGTGTGACCCTACGGCCTGCCAACAAATGTGCTCTCAACGTCGTGGGTTATTGCGTCCAATATTTTAACTGTGGTTGGCCACGTTCTTTATTTCTATAACTTATTGTCTGTGTTATTAATAAAAAAAAATAAGTTTGATTAGTTAAAATCACAACTCAGAGTAAAATCTTAAGAACTTCAAACTTCAATTACTCAAGTCATTTTGAATTATTAAGTGGTTAATAATTGACATAAGTCAGATTAATTTATATTTATAGAAATTTTATAAAATAAATTTAAATGTAAATAATCATGTTCATATCAAATCAAATATATTGTATTTGAAACGAAAACGTACATGAATCCATAGCATAATAAATCTACACGTTTTGTGATAAATTTTTTAAATCGATACGTGTTTTCATAATATCTTTTTTTTTTTTGTAAATGAATGACATAATAAAAAAAAAGTTTATATGTATTTGGGAACTATAACTGACTATTTGTATCATTAAATTTTTATTATTTTTAATGTAACATATATAAAATCATAGACAATACATTTAATCTCTATACATAAAAATATTTATAATTAAAACTTAATATCTGAAATGGATGCATATCTAAATCTATAATTGAAGAAATCTGCACTTCCCGCAGTAGATCTTCCAAATCAATACATGTTCTCACATTATCTTTTTTTTGGTAATAGAATGACAATTATAACATACTATTTATATCATTAAATTTTTATTATTTTTAATTTAACACATCATAAA